AAAGAAGTAAGTTGGAGACAGAAATCTAGACACAAATGGGTGAAGGAAGGAGATAGGAATACAAAATTTTTCCATGCAATAGCCAATGGCAGAAGAAAGAAGAACACCATATCTAAGCTGGTTGTTGATGGGACAATTTTAACACAACAGCAAGAGATTGTCGGGGCTTTTATGGAACACTTTAAATCCATCTTTAGAAAGCCTCTGCAGAAGAGATTAAGGATTGAAGGGTTGGATTGGCCTAAGCTCTCTAATGAGTTGAAGTTGTGGCTAGAAAGAGAGTTTGACTTGGAAGAAATCAGAGAAGCCATTTTCTCTATGGATAGATCCAAAGCCCCGAGCCCTGATGGCTTCACGGTGGCCTTTTATCAAGATTGTTGGGAGATAATTAAGGCTGACATTCAAGCAATGTTCTTGGAATACTTTGAAAGAGGTGTAATAAACCCAGGCCTGAATTCTACTTTTATTGCTTTAATACCGAAGAAGGTTGGGGCTTCTCATCCTAAAGAGTTCAGACCCATCAGTTTGGTTAACAGCCTCTACAAGATCATTGCTAAGGTGTTATCCAGAAGAATTAGAGAGGTGCTCCCCTCGATCATCTCCCATAACCAAGGTGCCTTCGTGACGAATAGACAAATTGTGGACCAAATCTTAATTGCAAATGAGTGTGTGGAAGACTACAGGAGTAGATGTGAGAAAGGGCTAGTGTGTAAGCTGGACTTGGAGAAGGCATATGATCTGGTTGATTGGTCTTTGTTGTTGGAAGTGCTAGAGTCTTGTGGTTTTGGGCAGAGGTGGTGCAAGTGGATTAAAGGGTGCATTAGGACTTGCCATTATTCTGTGCTAGTAAATGGCAAGGTGGTGGATCACTTTCCAGCTGTGCGGGGTATTAGGCAAGGGGACCCTCTCTCCCCTTTTCTCTTTACCCTAATTGCTGAAGTGCTAGGGAGGTTTACTGAGAGGGCAGACTCCAGAAATCTGATAAGTGGTTGGAGAGTGGGGAGGAATAAGGTTCCGGTCACTCACCTACAATTTGCAGATGACACAATTCTGTTTTGTGATGGAGAGGAGATTAGCTAGGTGTGCAATATGAAGATGGCGATTAGGGTGTCTGAACAAATGACCAATCTCAAGGTAAATCCGGGTAAGAGCTATGTGATTGGTATTAATATGAGTGAAGGAGAGGTGGAGGAAAGGGCTCGAGTGTTAGGATGTGAGATAGCTCATTGGCCACTGAAGTACTTAGGGCTTCCTTTGGGAGACAATCCCAAAAAAATGAGCTTTTGGAATCCGGTGATTGATAGGTTCACTAAAAGGCTAGCTTCCTTGAAGAAGAACTACTTGTCTCTAGGGGGTAGGATAACACTGATTAAGTCAACTTTGGCAAACCTTCCAGTATATTTCTTGTCGGTGTTCAGAATCCTAGAAGCGGTTTGTAGGGAGTTGGAAAAATTAATGAGGGACTTTTTATGGGAACCTAAGGAGGAGAGAAAGGGCCATAGAGTTAGGTGGGACCATAGAGTTAGGCTGGGAAATTTGTGGAAGAAGAATGAAGCTCTTTTAGGGAAATGGTTATGGAGATGGTCCAAAGAAAAAGAAAATTTGTGGGCTAAAATAATCCTAAGTATTCATGGGCAAGAGGCAGATGGTTAGGATCCGGGACTATCATTAGGGCTTCAAGAGCCTCCCCTTGGAAGTCGATTCATGCTGTCCTACAGTCTTTTCTTCCATTTATCAGGTACGATCTTGGTTCTGGTTTGTCTATACTTTTTTGGGAACACACTTGGGTGGGGGATTTTCCTTTGAAAGAGCAGTTTTCCTCTTTGTTTGCTCTGTCTAGGTTTAAAAATGAACCAGTAGCAACATTTGCTAACTTGTCTAATTCCGCTACTGGTTGGAACTTGGGTCTCAGAAGGGCTCTCAGAGATTTTGAGTTGGAACCCATTTCGAATCTGCTTAAAATCTTGGATGAGGTAGTCCTTGAACCTTCCATTGTGAACTCCAAGGTGTGGTCTCTTGTTCCCTCGGGTATAGGATGGAGCATCGCCGACATAAAAGGGATTAACCCTTTGGTATGCACGCACAAAATTCTGATGGAACAAGGCTGCAATCCCAAGGCACAACCACAAAGGAGGCTGAACCCTAAAATGCAACAAGTAGTGAAGACAGAAATTCTAAAATGGCTCAAAGCAGGTATTATCTACCCGATTTCTGATTCATCATGGGTAAGTCCTGTTCAAATCGTACCAAAGAAAGGGGGGACTACTGTAATTCTAAATGAAAATAATGAATCGACTCCCACAAGAACAATAACTGGTTGGAGGGTGTGCATAGACTATTGGAAGTTGAATGAGGCCACTAGGAAAGATCACTTCCCTTTGCCATTTATTGATCAAATGATAGAGAGACTTGCAGGGCACGAATATCATTGCTTCCT